ATGCCTATGTCCCCTTTTCTGAGACAGTAGATCTGCTTTTCTCAGCATTAAGGAGTGTCCTAAACCATAGTTTCAGAAATGACTTGATCACTGGCAATAGTAGTCCAGAAACACCAAACAATTTGGTGGAAAAAATTGATATAGTTAAAGCAAAGAGTTTGGTAATTATGCTCCAGAACACCTTCTGAAATCATTGTTTTGATTTGGAGAATAATCATAGTAAAGTATTATGCTCATATTGGGTTTTTTAGGTTATGAGAGTGGGTTTGTGTGGTGAAATGGAGAACTGAGGCAATATGAGGGTCATAGTTGGCTGTGTGGCTAATGAAAGTGTGATGACCAAAATCTGAGAGAGATGTCACTCAAAGCTTAATTAAATGCTGGCAGTGTGTTTAAGGAAAAAATGAGGAAGAGTAAGAATAAGATCATCAGTACTGATCTTTAAAGTGCAAGCGTCCAGCTACATTCAATTTAAATTGCAGAAATAATTGTATTAAATACTTTTGTCAACTTATAAATTATATGACTTACACTTGAGGAGTCATCACTTTTTCAACTTTATTGTGAACTTCTAGTTTCTGGTGCCAGATGTAGCAGGTTCAAGTTCTTAATTGGTATTAAACCGATTTGAACAGTAGTATTATTGGTTTTGGAAAGCACGGTGAGAAAGATGACAATTAAAAGCCCTTATGTCATCATGATATGCTACTTGAGTATGTGGCCACTGATCCTACTACCCACCTTCACTCTGAACAGTAAAAATCTCCATATTCCTTACATGCTTTCTGGTCTGACTGAAACATGTAACACCTCTGCCACCACCTCTTCTCCTCTGAGCTTCTACTCTCTCATTATGTTTGCCCAGATGTTCATCCTCTCATGCAATAAAATTGTGCAAACTTGTTTGGTGAGAAGGGAGGTCGACTTTTTTTGTGGTTTGTTATCCCTCCCTGCATCTTCTGAACTGTCTGTCCAGACAACTAAAAAAAGTCCCTGTAACTGCACTCCAGAACTGCCATTCCCACCACTCATTATAAAGGGACCTTGTATTAACCATGTTTAAATGGAGGAGCTGGTGGTGGAGTTGTATGAAGCTCCAATGGAGATCCCAGCTCAGTCACCTTGATAACTTTCCCGTAGGCACTGGTGGCTTGCTATTAGGTCCCCCTGAAGCTTTTTCTTCTTCAGATTGAAAAAGCCTGGTTCCTTCAGCTTCTCTAGTAAAAACGATTTTAATAAAATCTTTCAGATTAATTTTTTCTAAGGCTTTGTGCAGATTGCCAAGCCATTTGGGGAAATTTCAGTCTTTATTCTCATAATTGTCAAGGGAGGGTAAAAGTTATTCAGCGTTTTTGAAGTATTTTGATAGACTTTTTATTTTGTTTGTACACGTTTCTCTTCCGGGCCTTCACTGAGCTCTGCCTTGTGCTCCTCCATAAATTAAAGTGCAAAATAATGGGATGTGTGATAATTGCAAAAATTTGCTTTCATGTTACACTTCTGCACTCCTGGTTGTTGCACAGACTTTTTTTTTTTTTCCTTTAACATTAACATACTTGGAGTATGCTATGGAGACTGTCACAGTAACCACACTAAAACATGGAGGGGAAGCAGAAATAAAGCTACCTATCATCATAAAGATGGAAGGTCAGCTTTGTAACTGGTATACTTTGTCTTACTGCCATCAGAGTGCTTTGAATTTTCAGTCTGAAGGCCATACACTGTTCAGAAGTAGTAAGCAGTTGCACGTGAGCAGCTGAGCTCTGGTGTAGCTCGTGCTGGTGTCCCGAGGGGTCAGAGTGCTTTTAGAAGATGCTGAGCTTCTCATACAGTGACAAGACACCAGGAATTTTGCAAGAGCTTTGAGAACAAAGTAGGGGATGGCACAGCTGATGCATTTCAGTCTATAAGGTTTGCTTATCTCATTTGTGCTAGTATTTGAAGCTGACTTACATAAGAAAATGACCCATGTTCCCAAGACTGTTTTGCCAGTCAGGGATGTTAGTTTCATGAAAAGAAAGGGGCTTGAGTCATGCATTATTGTAATGCTGATGGAAATACATTCTCTTCAAAACACAAGGCACTCTTCGAAGTTAATATGTGAACTTGTACCTATTTCAGTTAAAATTGTGGATTGCTGCAATTCAGTGCTTTGGTATCAGTAGCAAGTTAAGCTTTATACAGAATTCAGATAAATATTGCAAGACTTAAAAATCTTGAAAGTCCAGTTGGTTTGAAGACATAAGATTAGCTCTTCCTGTCTAGATGTTTTTATTTTATATTTGTGCAGGAAGATTGCTTTTCATTCCATAATTTTAGTTAAAGGACAACCGTGAAGCAGTTTTCCTTTTTTTTTTTTAATTTGCTGTTGAGCAAAAATTGCTCATGTTATGAGATGATTTTAATAAGAATGTTGCATGTTAATACCCAACAACTATGAACTATTGATTTGATACCTGCAACATTTGTTGCATCAAAAGAAGCATGACCAGCAGATTGAAGGAGGTGATTGTCCCTCTCTACTCTGCTCTCATGAGACCCCACCTGGAGTACTGTGTCCAGCTCTGGGGCCCTCAACAAAAGAAGGACACGGACCTACCTGAGCAAGTCCAGAGGATCACAAAGATGGTCAGAGGTGTGGAGCACCTCTTCTGTGAGGACAGGCTGAGAGAGTTGGGGTTGTTCAGCCTAGAGAAGAAGAGGCTCTGGGGAGACCTTATAGCGGCCTTCCAGTACCTAAAGGGGGCCTACAGGAAACATGGGGAGGGACTTTACAAGGGCATGTAATGATAGGATATGGGGTAATAGCTTTAAACTGAAAGAGGGTAGATTTGAATTAGATATAAGGAAGAAATTTTTTATTGTGCAGGTGTTGAGGCACTGGAACAGGTTGCCCAGAGAGGTTCGATGCTCCATTCTCTTCTCTGATGTCTCATTGTCCACTTTCTTCAATAGACTGGTTATTGGCTGCAGCTTGAGGTCCACCCTACTGTTCCCAGAGTGCTTGACTTCAAAGGAGTTGGTTGTTACCCTTAGACCACGCTGGGTCCTATTATTTGGAGCTGTTGTATCCATATCAGTTCTCCATCTCTTTCCTTTACCTTGTAAGCCTGACACTAAACCTAATGGTTTTTTTTTTTAACTCTGGAGCACTGTCTGAGAGCTAGAAGCTATTGTCCCAAAATAGCTTGTATGTTCATTGTATCAGCTAGCTCCACTACTGTCTTTGCCAATTCATACTGAAGTCCTGGCATGTTGTCAGCTGGGTGGAGGCAATGTAACTGCTAGGGCTTGATTCTGCAATTGTTCGAACTCAGCGGAGGAGACCGAGTTAGCAGTCTCCATCCTGGAGGAACAGCAAGTTAAAACTAAAGTGTCAGAAATCTGATCACAGCTTTTAAGTGGTTCAGACAGGCCCTACTACCTCTGAACTTGCCCACTCCCAGGATGCGTGCACACAAACACACAAGCACCCCTTTACCTGCTACGCTTTTTGCAAATATCTGTGCACGTTGCCGATTTTCCTAACAACCTTCTGTGCAACTGGGTGCCTGTTACCTTGTGTGTCACTATAACCAGTGCTGACTTCAGCAAAACCAAGCAAGTCTTCCCCCCGCCTCCGTTCACATACTGTCTGCCTGCCTGTGTCCCGCAGTTCACCCCATGAACACAGTCAGCAAAGCAGATCCTGGGTTTTAACATCAACCGGTAAGCCCCTCGCTGCTTACACTGCCCTGTCTCAGGAGTAACGCAATTTGCAAAATGCAGCATACAGCAGCACTATACTGGACTGCTCAAATTCTAAGCAGTCCATAGGAATGATCCAGAAACTGGAAACTGCATGAATAAATGGTGATTGTTTGCTGGAAGGTGTGATGCAGTGCCTTGGTAGGCCATGCCCTGGTCTGTACCCACTCATCTGCATCCACACACTGAGTAATGCCACAGGCACCGGCCTAGCTGCAGATCCATCTTGCTGTTTACTGACATTTCAGGTGTGTTCTAGTTGGGATCTTGGTACTTAGCATTGGATTTTCTTGCTTTTCATTCACTTTCTTGCATCTTTGAACAGTTCTAAGATTGAGTGGTGCTATTGGTGGTAAAATTGTTCCGTGATCAGTGTTCAAATGCACACAGTGTGTTCTGAATTTCAGTGAATCATTGTCCTATTTTCACTTACTATCTCTGAAATCCTAAAATGTGAATAACTCTGTTTCACCATGTCTGTGGTCCTCTCTTGCTGCCAGTAAGTGCTGTTACTACTTGTCAGAGTGTTGTCAACTTGAATGATTTTTGATCATGAGTCTCTCAATATTTAAGTAAGAAGGAATTGTAAGTTTTTTGTTTACTTGTCTAGTTGAAACTTTGGGTATGGTGATACGATCTCTGACACTTTTGTCGGTGTTTTCGTTGCTTTTCCCATTTTTCTAACTTCTCTGAAAGATAGGCCCATACTTAAACTAGAACATCATTATTTTCCCATCTTAGGACTTGCTCCACAACTTGATAATTAACTTCAGGAGCGGATCATTTGCACAGATGCAGACCACATTTCAATCTTTGCTGAGCCAGTCACTAATCTTGCAAAATACTATTTGCTGTTTGGTTGGTTTAGTTTTTTGTTGAGTTAGTTGAGCTGAATTTGGCTCAGCAAGAGTCCAACAGGTTTCAGAGCTGGCAAATGAGGAGATGCAGGACCATATGGCCAAGAGCAGGGGAGTAGGAAGCAAGGGTAGCCTTCGGTGACAGCAAGCCATTAATTTGGCTCAGCTGTTTTGTTAAGGCATGCTCTCAGCGAAGCCAAGAAATACTTTGAATGTCATATAAACATGTCATTCATTAAGAATATGCCATAAAAGCTTTAATCCCTGGTAGTCTCTTGTTGTGGCTACCCACAAAATATTGAGGTTAATCAAGATCAAGTATAGGATTCCTTCTAATTACAGAGTTGATCTACAAATGCAACCATCTTTCTGCATGGATTTTTCTTTCTATTTCAGAAGGAAGATGTCATTAATGTGGAAAGGGATGAAAGACTGTCTCTTCGGAAGCATCGCTTCATGCATTTTGCATCACTGGAATATGAAGGAGAATATTACATGACACCAAGAGATTTCTTGTTCTCAGTAATGTTCGATCAAGTTGAACGTAAGTTGTTTTCTCATCATTGTATTTGTGAAGGAAAGGAAACTTGCAGGTCCCCTTAAAGGTGTAACTTGCAAATCACTGAAGTAAAATCCTTTATCTGACATAAAACAGCAGAGGTCAACTAATAAATGTTGTGCATATGGATTCTCACAGGCACCACTACCCTTTACACAAGTACAGTGAGACTGATGATTTAGAAATCTGGTGACTTGATGATGACGTTACATCTCTACATAATTTGCATGTCTGAGCAGTATGTAGTTCCTCGATCACTTACATGCCATAGAAGATAGTAGGACTGTGATATAATAGTGTTCATACCATTCCTGGTCCCTGGTTCATACCCCATTCCTGGTTCATACCATTATCTGGCTGTCCAATTCACCAGTAAGTACTCTGTGACCTTTTTTCTTAGAAGTGGAATCAATGGGAGTCACTTGAATGAGTGTAATGAAGCATTGAGCTCAGCTCTAGATTTCTGGTTTCAAATCTCCTCTAGTTTATACAAAACCTAGTTAAGAACAAATCAAAATTGTATGCATTTTTTTGAAAAAGTACTTTTAAAAGCATGCTTTCTGAGCAGAAAATAGGACTAGCACACATATAAAAAGTGCATAGGTGGTTGTCCTCCTTTCCTCCTGTTTTTCTTGTCTTATTAACTCTACCCCATTCCTTAAGCTTCTTTTTTATGTTTTGGCATTGTCTTCTGTAATTTCCATGTTACAGTAATTTTTAAAAATTATATATGCTTTTTCTCAAAACATACAGCTTTTACAGCTTTCCCAATAATTTTTTGCTTTAGAAAGGTTAAGTTCTCCAAGCTGCAGAGAGGATTGTTACTCAGAGGACAAATACTCTGCTAGTACATCTGCTGAGGGAAAGAGGGGGAAATCCCAACTTTAATCATTGTTTGCTGCAGTTTGCACCTACTGACCAGGGAAGCACATTGTCTAGCGAAAGGCATTCATAGCCTGGGATACTCTGCCCAGCTCTCAGCAAATGTCCGAGTGATTTGGGGGTATTTAACAAGAAATACAGAAGGGAATTCAGGGTACTGTGGGAAAGGCTTGAGAAACAGGGAGGAAGAAGGAGACCTGAGCACACTTTGATTCAAGCCTGTGGGAAATGTGGGGCAGAACAGAGTTTACTGAACTGCAAGTAGTCAAAGAATAGGATGCAAGAATATCTAATAAAAGATGTTTTCTTGTGTCTGCCAAAAATCTATAGGTGATAAGGGTATGTGGCTTTACTGCTGACACAATGTCTAATATTATACAAAGCTGAATATAAATCCTTATAAGGACTTTATGATCTTGAGAGTCATGTAGACTCTCAAAATAACTTTTTTTTTTTTTAATATATGGCTAACAGAAAGAGCCCTTTCCCCTTAAAAACTTAGATCATTAAGCTAACCTAGAAGGGATTTTCTTTTGACTTTTCTAGCCTGAAGCACCGAAAGATGGTGAAAACTGAAATTTTCAGTTCAGAAGGTGTGGGTTTCAGACAGTTGTCTTTGAAAGCAAGGTTAGAGAAATAAGTGGTTTTCAGTCTTAGCAGTTCATGCATATTAATTGGCTATTCCAACTATAATAGTACACGTGCAGATTTTTAATGAAGTGGTATGTGAGTAAGATTTATTTGTCATGCAGCCAAGTTAATTTCAGTTATTTTGCTAATATGAGTAAGAAGCAGCGTTAAACAGAAAAGAAAAATAATTATAAGAAAAAACACATGAACAAAAAAAAAAATCCTTCCACTAATGCATATTTAGTGTTTCAAACTGAGGTCAGGCTTACAACAATAGCATCATAGACAATTCATAGAAAAATGTTAATACTTGAATCTAATGCTCCTAAACCAGTTTTTTAACCATCACTAGTGTGGGTGCTTTAACCAGTAGCATAAACACAGTGGTAAGCAATTCTCAGGTCATATTGCTTGGGATTTTAGATTTTTTTGCAACTGCAAGCAGACACAGCATTTGTTAGCAGGGAAATGTGGTGTTTTAAGTATTTTAAAGGCAGTGGTTTGTTCATTGTATTTAGAAGAGTTTCATATTAGGAAAATAAACAGACCTATCTCAAGTGTCTGTCCAGCTATATTTGGAGTAGGTCAAGATGGTGAACTTCATAGCAAAGCAGCAATTATTTTTGGAAACTTTATGTATATATCATAAAATTAATTCCTTTTCACCCTGAAGAGTGGTTTTAGAAAGGAAAACAGTCATGCCACCACTAATCCTAGAAAGCCCTTCACTTACTGACGTACAGAGAGGCAATTTTAACATGTGATACTGTATACAAATGGTGAGTCTTGTAATGCTGAACTTAAAGCTGTAATGATTTGTTTATTCTCTACCTATTTTTGATCAATTACTAATTTAAAAAAAAAAAAAAAGAAAACTCAGAGAAATGTGAAGCACCCTGGCAGTAACTATTCATCGTCATAAATATTTGCTTGGAGTTTGCCACTTGGTTGCTGTATATAATAATAGAAAGGCTTAGGGCTGTTCTAAAGTTTTGGGGTTTCTGTCTTTTTTTTACATACGTAATAGGCATGAACATATGATCAGCCTCACGAGCAATTTAGCTGTGTACACCAAGAAATATTGCTGAGGTTGATCACAACATTCTGTTGCTTTGTTCCTCTTCAAAGATAACCACTCCCAAAGGGGGAAAAAAGCAAATGAAAAGAGGGGACGAGAAGCAGTTATGGGTTGGGAGTAGGTGTCTTTGGCCAATGGTCTTGGGTTTTTTGCTCACTGATGATTACCATTGGAGAATTGCTTTGAAATCTCCTGTTAGTTTTTAAGCATAATAAAATGTAGAATAAAGTAAATGTGGTGCTGTGTAAACCAGATCAGTTGCTGGTGCTAGATCTAATGTGCTGATGTTAGAAAATACCAAAATATTTTAGCTATGCCCAGATTGTAGAATGAATTCCTGTACACAGTTGGGAAGAATTTATTACTGAAGCAAAAATCTTAGGTGTGCCCTTTGACAAGGTTGCAAAACATGCAATAAATTATGATTTATTATAGAAAACTTTCCCAGATAAGAAAACAGATGAACTGTAGTGCAAATATATCAACTGTCATCCAACCCAAGTGATCTTGAACCCTGCTTGATAGTCCTTAGTTCACTAGTTCTGCTCATTTGTTTCCTGGTGCATGGGTTTCTCTATTACTCATTTTCTTTAAGGTAGTGTCCTGGTTTGGGCTGAAATAGAGTTAATATTTCTTTTCAGGGAATAGATGAGTGCTGTGTTTTGGATTTAGCTTTGGGTTTGGTATGGGAAGAATGCTGACAGCACACTGATGTTTTCAGCTGCAACCGAGACTTCAAGGACTCTCCGACTCCTCATGTTTTGCCTGTGAGCAAAGACACAGGAGGCAGGGAGGGAGCATGGCCACAGCACCAGACCCTAATTGGCCAATGAAATATTCCATATCATGGAATGTCATGCTCACTATATAGAGGAGGGGTGGTTGGGAAGGGGCTCGCTCTCTCTCTCGCTTCCGGGATTGTGATTGCGGGATCTTGGTATCTTGGGGTCACTGGCCGGGAACGGTCTGGGGATTGGTCAGCGGGTGGTGAGCAATTACGTTGTGCATTGCCTGTATATATATTTCTTTTTTTTTTTTTTTTCCTATCGTCATCATTGTTCTCATTTTATTGCCATTATTAAACTGTTCCTATCTCAGCCGGTGCGTCTCCCTTCACCCCTCTAATTCCCTCCCCCATTCCCAGGTGGGGAGGGGGAAGGGAGGGTGACCAGCTGTGGTGGTTGGTTGCCGACCAGGCTCAAACCACGACAGGTAGGCCAAAAATTGTGAAATCTTGGCATTCCTGTTGATTAAATCACACCTGAAAAGTTATTTACTGTCAGGGTGATAATGAAGAAAAATATTTACAGTCCTGCCATCTAAGGAGAATGAGCTGATAACAAATGCAGTTTCCTGACAGACTTACTTTGTTCTGCGTATTGACAAAGCAAAGAGCTCTATAAAGGAAGAAACGCACAATCCAAAAAAAATTTGCTTGCTTTTAAATGCAGTGTTTCACAATGGATTGCTTTTATATGTATTTGCCTAATTCTATTACCATTATGTATTTTATGGAAGGAAGCAGCCACCTCCTTATAAACAGTGACAAACAGTAAATGAGATGTGGTAGTGTGGCACAGCATTTGTGCCAGTACAAAACACCTATGACAATGTTTTGTTAGCACAGTGCATACTGAATGCACTGTTGGGATTTTTTGATTCCGGGCTATGCACCACATAATCCTGTGATAAAACAATGTTACCATGGGGATGTATGGCAAACCATTGCAAAACTAGCCATGTTCTTCAGAGTAATCTGTAAAATGTTCACGTTAACCGTCATATCTGATGCAATGATGATTTAGTGAAAAAGTGTTTTCTGTTATTTTCTTATTGTGACATAAGCACTTCTCAATGTCTAGTAATATCTAATAAGAATAATATGGATTTGCTCTGTTGCATCAGAAATTCTAGCATTTTTAAGATCACCGGTGTAAAAAGGATAAAGCTCAGCTTACACTGAATTTTCAATGCAATGCAGGAGTATTTTTAAAAGACCCTTGCAGCTTCAGGTAAAACTTGTGTTTTAAACAGTCGTGCATACTTAGGCTTGTATTCCAGATTATACAGCCAATATTGTGTTAAAGCTTCTCCATGGAAATATCACCTCTGCTGTGCTGTTGCTGTAGAACATACAAGAAAACCTGTATTAAATTTTGAAAGACTACATATACAAAAATCCTTCAGATAGTTAAGAATTTGCAGTACATTAAATCTGGACTGTGTTTATGTTAATCTTTCTGGAGAAGATTATTCTGTTCCAGAAGTACCACCTTCTTTCAAGGAGAAGGCAAATGCTCAGGCTAGCTTGTATGATAATACTTGATACATGGTCAGTAAAGATCTTGATCCTTCTATATATACTGAGTACAGATTTAATGTATTGTAACATCTT